ATTGTGGTAAATGCTCCTAACCGGAATGGAATCTAATTCTGGGGTTCCTTAACAATGAGAACCGTGTTTCCGAGCTTGAAATCGTTTCAGAGGGGTTGCTGGCTTTGGGGCTTACAAGGCTCTAGTCACTGGTCCTTGGTCGGGATAATATTGAAAAACTGAATTTCTATTGGCGCTCTGGCCTACATGCCCATGAAGAACGTAAAATACTAACCAACTATGACAAAGAACAGTTGTCCTTTAAAGGTTCTATGAGGGATCTGTAAAGTCAGGGGGGCGTGGGCTTTAGGGTTTCAGGGCTTTAAAGGTTGAGGGTCTCGCAGTTTGGCCCAAACCCTAAACCTTAAGCCCCAATTTCGAAACACTAAACCCTTCTAAGTAATTATAGGTATAGTTACCCTGATTATAAGGCCAGATACTAAGTCCCAAAGGACACCGGCCTCAATCAGGTTGTTGCTGAGATAGAGCTCCATTAAGCTGTGCCTCGGTAAGGCTGCTCTTCCTATGGGTTCTGAGTTCTTAGTCGTATGGCTTGTAGGATTTGTTTTATGTGTTTTCGTAGGGTGAATGGGGTCTTTCTAAGTTTTTAGATGGTTTTTACATGTTAGATTAGTACTGGCTGTTGGGTATCTGTTTCTCTGGCTGACCTGCGCAGGTGGTGTTCAAGGTTTTGGCACATTGAGTTGTGCGTTTAAGGCTTAAGGAGTAAAATCTTTAGTGTTGAGGGTCTTGGGCACTTAGGGTTTACTGTTTTTTTAAAGCCCCCTTTACAAACAGGATTTACTGTTTAGGGTCCAGGGTAGAGGGGGCATAGACTTACGAGTACGGCTCGAAAAGGACATCCCGGGTCTTAGAGTCTTACTTGGAGGATCATGGGACTTAGTAAGTAAGGTTATAAGTACCTTAACTGGGGTTATAAGTAGTTATAAGTATAGTTACCCTAATTATAACCCGAGTTACTTAGGTCCCATGACCCTTTAAGTAGAGTCTTAGAATCCCAAAAATCTGGGGGCAGCATCTTTTCTTGCACATACCCTCACCCGACGGGTCACAGGCACCGTTTTACCTGGGCGATGCGTCTTAACAGCGTAACATCGTCCTAACGTCGATTTGTGCTCGGCGGGAGTATCCGGTGAATTCGCCATTGGTCAAGCGATCAACTATAAGGATCCCAGCCGCGAAATCAGTACTTGGAGGATCATGGGACTTAGTAACTTCAAGGGTTCCTTAAGGGGTTCCTCAAAGGGTTCCTTAAAGGGATCTATAGAAGTTTAGGGTTTTGGGTCTACTTGGAGGATCATGGGACTTAGTATGTGGGCTCTAAGTACCTTAATTGGGGTTCTAACTAATTGTAAGTATAGTTACCTTAATAATAACCCTAGTTACTACGTCCCATGACCCGTAAAGTACAGCTTGGCTGCGGCTGGCCTCAACAAACCTAAACCCGAACGCGGGAAAGAACCTCAACGCCGTAAAACTTTTTACGGTGTCGAACAACCGATGCTCCGTCAACAAAGCTCCAACCATGCTGGTCGCATGCACACACACAAGATAACCAACATTCGTTCATGTCATGAGCAGAGCAAAAGGGGAGGGCGGAAGGCACCTGGTCCAGCGAAGAGCGTGGCATTGGACACGAAGTTATTGTCCACCGTTGCAGAACGACGGGGATGCACAGCGGGTAAGGTCTTCGGGTTGAACTACAGCTTGCCCCTCAAAACAACTGAAGACATACTCCCACAAGCGACCTTGGCTCCTCCAATTCTGTAATAAACTCAGCCTGTATTCAATCCAGACATCCATACTCCTATACACACAAATCCATTCAAATCAAACCGCTGTCCAAACGGGTGTTTGCTCAACTGCTTGCTTTTTATTGTAGTTTTGGAATCCTCCGATTGGCTATGTAAAAACACACCACCGGCATGTGAAATACACTCACAAATCATGATCTCAAAACTGGGGGAGTTGAACTCGCAAATGTGCAATTTGGGTTGATCATGGAAAACTGCCAAAACATACACCCTATCCCCGGCATACGCGCATCCCTGCTGAAGTTGAGCTCTGAAAAAGACTTCAGGAGCCAATCACATGCTTAAACAGCCCTTATTCCTCAAACCCTGAACCACTTAACCCTAAGCCCTGAACCCTCATACCCTAAAGCCCCTAATCCTCCTACACTGACCCGCCGAAGCCTTCAGCTACGACCTGGGCCAGACCGGGGAGAACCGAAGAAGAATGCCGGACCCCGGTATGAAGGCTAAACTTTCAGCCCTGAAGCCCAAACCCTAAACCCTAAACCTCGTAGACCCTAAACCCCCTTCAAGGAGCCCTTTAAGGAGCCCGTTAAGGGTGCTGCATAGGAAACTAAACCCTAAAACCTCAGCCGGGAAAGCTGGGTCCAGGCACAGCTGGGCAAAGGTATCCAGCGAGTCGACGAAGTTATCCTGGGAGGACTAGGTCTAATATAGGGGCCTTAATAGTTAGAATAGGGTTGTGGGGCCCATTATACTATAAGTACCCCAAAATAGAACAAGGTAATCAGTAAAGCCCCTATAGTAGGTGTTCCGGGCTTTTGACTTGACAGACGCACCAAGACTCTCGCTTGAACTGTTTATATCTCGAGGGTGTCTTGTAGCCATTGTAGCCTCTGCTTGTAATTCTGGTGCGTTGTCTGTCTTCTTCCCACTCTTTTGAGGAGTTGTGCTGGAGGTTTGTGGGTCTGAGGTTTAGGGCTTGGGGTTCAGGGTCTGGGTGTTTAACTCGGAGGCAGCTGATTCATTCATACAAGGTACGGTGCGAAGTCCATGCCGGGTGTGAGTTTGGGGTTCATACTTGTGTTATTTTGCAGGGATCTGAGTTTTAGGGTTGGGGTTTGTAATGGGAAATACCAGAACGAAGCAAACCCGAAATCCCAAACACTTAGACCACACAAAAGCGGCAACAGCAAAGACAACCGCCAGACAACTCTCAAACCGACCCTTATACCTGAAATCACGCAACCTCAACCCTCAAAATCCCTGAACCCTGCTCGCAAAACCTACTTCTTTCAATGGTCCGTAACCACTAAATGCTACCCAAAGAGGCCCAAGTACCTGTATGGTAGAATGTAGGGTTTCTATACTTGGAACTACTAGTATGATTTGCGGAAGTGTCCCCCATAACAGTGACCCCACCCCACCCTTAACCCTAAACCTTCGAACTTAACCCCCCTCCAAAACCCTAAACCCTAAACCCACAAAAAAAACACACATAAAAAAAAGAAAAAACATAAAACAAAATAAATAAAGAAGAAGCGAGGCCTCCAGGGACAGGTGGCTCAACTTCGTGAGCTTCTGGAGTTCGAGCCTGGGAACGCTTCAGGCTTTCAATTAAACTACTATTTGCTTAAGAACCACCCAAAAAACAAAAATAATAATCCCTATATTACCACCATAAGGAATACATTTGTTTTTATTTTTTGGGGGTTCTTAAGCAAATAGTAGTAAAGGGTTGGATGTTTACCTACCCAGAGAGCAGAATACCCCTTAATTAAGGAATATGGCTTCAATTTTATAGGGCTTCACATTGCGATTTAAGCTATATTCCCGAATTAACGGGTACTGGGCTCTCTGGGTACAGTCTCGATTGTGTTCCCTGTTTGGGTTAACCATACATATCTATATTGAGCGGAGACGCCGATAGCTTGAACCCAAAGCGCTGATTCTTGGGGGCTGGGTATCCTGGCCCCAACAAAGGTTAACCCTTTTCAGTTAGGGTAGGTTTTTTTAAACCCCGAAAAGGTTGAAGGCTACCTACTCAGCCAATAACTCAGGAACGGATTTGATGCTTAGGGCTCTTTTCAAGGGTTCTGACTATGAGCTTTGCGTTAAAGGATTTAGGGTTCACGATTGCGGTTCCTTGAAGGAAGCGTTTATGGCTTTCGCGTTTGCGGGTTAAGGGCCTAGGGCACGTAGGGCTTGGGGTTGAGGGTTCACGGCGTTGGGGTTTGCTCTTCCAGATGCTTCGAACACAGAGCTCTATGGAATTTCTTATGACGCACTGCAGAGGTTCAGAATACTTGGAGGGTCGGACGACTTAGTAAGTTTTGTTTACCGCCGTAGAAGTATGATAACCTCAATTAGGATCTGTTTTAGAGTGCGTATATAAGTCTGCTTAGTACCTACTTACTAGACTAGACTAAGTCCCCCAGCCCTCCACGTATAGTTCTAAACCTTGACCCGGAATCATGAACTGTAGCTCTGAAGCCTTGACCCTAATTCCAAATCACTGGGTATCTTGGGGTTCCAGACTTTAGGATCTAGCATAAATTTAGGGTGGGCCAAGCCTGAAGCAAAGCCTAAAGACTTATTATTACCGGAACCACATACCCTCGACTGGGGGAGCCACGGAATATTCCTCATGTGGCAGCTGACTGTTATGGATTTAGTTTTGATCTCCGTATATTTATTGGTCTCTCCTGTACACGGACCTCTGCAACAACCCGCATATGGATAATGCACGATGTTGACAACCAGCCGTAGTATTCCCGTGATGACGAACATAGACCCTCATTCAACCCCATAACCTTAACCCGTAAACCTCTAAACCCCTAAACCGCCATAGCCTCCACCCTGAGGGCAAGACCCCTACACTCCTAATCCCTCCCCCAACTTGAACTCCTTTCTTCCCGAAACCCCTCATGCAATACTCCTAGGCTTGGGGTTCTACTAGGGTTTAGGGACAATTCACCACTGATTTCCGCACTTTGCACTGCTTTTTTTGTCTGCTGCAGAACGTGGTCGGGCGCTTTTCTCCCAGGCCTAATGGAGGCTTCCTACATTTGAGGGCTTATAAGGGTTTCGGACTTACACTCAAGGTTGGGAGTTTAGGGTTAAGGGCTTGAGACAGCTAACTGAGGGCTTGGTACTGAAACAAAGGTGCAAAGGTCAGAGATAAGCAGATTCGCTAGCCAAAGTTAACTTTTCTCGGGGTCTTGAGACTGTTGTGAAACAGCAGCCTCAGCCAGATGCATCATGGCCCGTCCGAATAATCTGGAAGAGGCCCATGATGTTGTTCCTCAGGGTTGAGGCTGTATAGGACTTTAGAGTTTAGGGTTTGGGGCAAGCTTACGGGCTACGGAGAACGACGAAGGCTTAACTAAGGCTTTTGGATTTAGGGGCTTGAGGTGTAGTTTAGTGAATGGCCCAAAAGATTAGTGAGATCTTTTGCATTGTTTCCTGGGCTTTAACACTGCGTGCAAGCTTCAAGGCATTGGTACGCAGGTTGCAACTGGGTTCGGAAACACTCTGGTTGCGTCTATCCATCTCAAAACCCTACTTAACCCCAAACCCGACCCTAAACCGAAAAACATGCTGCGGCACAGGATTCTGGAGGTGAACACAGGCCGCGAGCCCATCCCTACATGATCAGCGCTCACCAAATCGAGAAGCCCTCAGGAATAGTAGTGGTGATTAGGCAGGCTTCTATACTGGTTCACCACAAGTCAGTCTGTACCCGAACCCTAAACTCAAGCAATAAAGATGTCAGCGCACCAAAAGCCTAAAAGAGGGCCTAATAACCCTAAACCAGAAAATTTAGTTTAGGGTTTCGGGGTTCGCAAACACCCTAAACCAGAAACTCCTAAGCCCGTCAAGCTGTCCACGACACTCTCTCCCTGAAGCGCCAAATCTATAAATTAGCCCCAGGGGTCAAAAAGGCTCACACCATACAAAAATGCAACCTATAAGACTCCACGTGTCCCTGTAGTATATATTTGGGCCCAAAGTACCTGCAAAAGGAGTACTTTCAGGCCAATGTATATCCGATATGGGCACCAGGACCCTTCTAGGAAATGATTCCTGAGGAACCCCGAAACCCCAAAGCCTCTGGAGACTACACCTATGATTTGAACCCGAAGCCCTAAATCCGAAACCCCTAAACCCCCTAAACCATGAACCCCGAATCCGCCATTTCACCTATAAACTGAACCCGAAACCCTTTAAAGCAGGGCCCCAGAAAGCACATAAGCAAAAAGAAGGATAGTGATATCCCATATAAACCCCCGTAAACGGAAGGCCAACAAGGTAGGGATATCACCAGAAAAATGCTTGTGCTTATGTGCTTTTTGGGTCCCTAATTCAAGCCCCCGAACCATGAAACAAGCCGAGGATCTGCTTGATGGCCTGGCGGCAGGCGGCAACCACCCGACCCTTGGCGTTGCCCATGCGGAGCTTCGCAGCTTTCCTCGCACAGGTTCAGGGTTTATAGAGTTTGGGGATTTAGTGTTTAGAGTCTAGGTAGGGTTTGGGGATTTAGGCTTTAGAGTCTAGGGCTTATAGGGTTTGGGGATTTGGGGGATCTAGGGGTTTGGGGCTAGGGAAGTCATGTCTCGGGGTCTTGAAGTAGGGAGTTGCAGAACATGACAGGTATCTTACTTTGCAGATCCTTATAATAAGCATCCTGCAATTTAGGGTACTATATTAGGATCCCCAATTCTCGGAAACCCCAAGTCGTGTTTCGGCACAGCGCTTCAGGGTTCAGGTCATGGGTTTAGACATCCTAGACCCTAAGCCCTGACCCTACGCATACTAACCTTACACCTTCAAGCCTCACCTGAAAACCCTAAGCCTAAAGCCTCAAGGCTCAAGGTGCAGGGCTTCTAGGGTGTCAAACACCAGATTTGGGCGTCAGAGAGGTTCCGGGCTTTCAGCGCTTTGTCGCCGGGCGCGGCGAGGGGGCAGTTTCGTATCTACTAAAAGAGTCCAGACGGTGTTGGGTTCATGGTTGGGATAGGATTAAAAATTTACATTTTTATTCCTTATTGGGTGTAAGTACCCATAAAAATGTAAAATGCTACCCAACTTTGACAAAGCTAAAAGTGTCCAGACGGTTTTGGGTTTATGCCGGTTTAAGGCTCATGGTCGGCCGCTTCTGCCTGATTGCACTTGCATCTCATATTGAAACCCTGAACCTTCCCCTGCCAGCTACAGCTTTGACCGTGATCGTTAAGACGTAAGCAGCAACATGTGTTCGAGACCGCTGGGAATTGAAACTGTAAATCAACAACGGAAACAATCAACCTAGAAACCAAGAGTGTTACAGCAAAGGAGCATTACATGAAAGGAAACCTAAAACTTCAACCAAGGGGCCCATGACTAAAGCCCTTGTAGCTCTGCAGTTCACGAAACGAAGCTATGGGAACCTCAAGAAAAAACCAAACTCACAGACAGTACACCTCGAACCTTAGAACCCTACATGCCCGAAAACATCAAAAGCAACCCAAAAGAGAACACTTCAAGAAGCCCTTGAAGCTCTTCTTACCTTTGGTTAATTAGTAGGGAATGGAAGAATGGTAGTAATAGTAGTTGTGGTTGTACCCCGTTCGTCCATTCCCTACTAACCAAAGGTAAGTCTTACAGCTGTGGCAGTCTGGAAGCTGGATCATCATGTTGACTTCCTTGAGCTGCGCGAGGAGCTGCTGGTGGTTGTTTGCACGCCTTTGGTAGGAAAGGATAAAAAACGTATAAACTTGCAGTTGATAAGATAATGGCTCCTTTAACGACCAGGTACGGTTTCGGGATCTCTGCGGCGAGTTTGTGGATGCAAGGGGTGCATTTGCGAGTCTACATGAGTTTCGCGATATTTCGGGATGGGATTTTGTTGAGAGTTTACGGAGGTCCACTGTTGAGTGTGTGATTCTGGGCTCCCGTGTAGCCCCCCTGATAATGGGGATACCCTGTATCCTACCATTTAGGTCGATCAGAAAGGGAGCCAGCACAAAGAACAAACGCAAAAGCGTAATATAGGGGTCCTGTCTAGGGTTTGCAAGGCCCATGATAACCATAAACAGGAACCTCTAAAAAAAAGTATAGGTAAATATTGAGGCCCCTACAGTACCACTGAGGAACCTAACTTTTCCCGGATCCCAGCTGCTTATTGTACTCAGCGATGAGGTCGCTGTTCGTCTGCTGCAGACCGGAAAACACCTGAGACGTAGGTCAGGTGTAGTGTCGAGGCCACCTAACAATGTCCGCCTAGTGCTTCTCTCTCTCTCTCTCTCTCTCTCTCTCTCCTATATATATATATATATATACTTATTTATTTAAAAGACCGTTTTCAAATGAATACCTGTTCGGTTCCTTACTGTTCCTACACCCGAACCGTAAACCCTAAACCAAGTTGAAGGACCTTTACAGCCTACAGTCTGGGTACAAGTATTCCTGCCGGTCTGGGGTTCGCCTTAAATCCTAAGCCCTCAATCCTCGACGCTGAACCTGAAACCCTACCAAAATGTACCATGATATGCCACGTTTTCGCTGTATGGCTATAGGTGTACCATGATACCATACTTGTTTTTAGGAACCCCTAAAATAGTATAGGTAATTGTGTTGGACTGTTTGTCCTTACGACTGCTGTCAATATCCTCAACACAGTATATAATAATGGCGGCAATGGCCCATCAACTGTTCTCTGCAGGACAGCGAGACCCCTAAACCTCTGAAGCCCTAAACCCCTCAACCCCCAAAACCGAAAAGTCCACACCTTTCTAGTAGTCTTACAGTACCCGAAATCTTTTTTTTGGAATAGAAGGAACCTCTGAAAGATCACTAAACTTATGGATACCCCCCCCCCCCGCTAAACAGAACAAGCCTTCTTCAGGTGCTGCATGTCCGAGAGCATCCTGACTCGGGGTTGGGGCTTCGGACTCGGCACAATAAACAGATACCCTCGGCTGGAGAACACAGCAATCGACAATCAACCCCAAACCCTGCAGGCTAAACAGAAAAGCTTACTTCTAGGGTTATAAATGAGGTAACTAGACCCATAAATGCATATAACCCCCCCAATTAAGGTCCTTATGGCTTCAGGCTGAACGGTCAAGCCTAAAACCCTAATCCCGAAGGAACACATCCTAAAGCCTCCTCTTTTTGGTCAGTTGTTCCCAGGCCCCCGGGAGGATCCACAAAGCAGATCCCTTAATGCGCGTTCCTATAAAGTACTGTTAGGAATATCTAGGGTTCCTTTAAGGGTTCCTGTAAAGGGACCTAAAGCCTCGGCTGCTTGGCCTGCCGTTTGCATGGTTCGATGACGAGAGGCTCGGCTCTTTGGCTTCTCAAAGGGGAAAAGGAGGGACCCTTAACGGGGACCTTTAAAGGGATCTATAGGGATTCTATAAGGGTATATAGGGTTTAGGGTTTAGGGTTGGGGGTTTAGGGGGTTTAGGGGAAAAGGAGGGACCCTTAATGGGGACCCCTACCCTATAATGGGCTATATAGTGGGTATATAATGGCTATAGGTATATACCTAGGGGTCCTTACTAAGGGTCCCTCCTTTTCCCCTTTGAACACCGAAGCTGAAAAATTCTGTAATTAATTATTGCTCCTCACGGTGAAACATGGGCTGAACATAAAGCGAGCAATTTTACTACTCCTCCGAGCCCTATAGTAACTTCGGTGTGCAGACAACGCCCAACTCTGCAAGCCGCTCGCCTGTAATCCTCGGCTTTCACGATGAGCGCTTTCACCAGGTTCGCGCTGTCCGCCATTTCGGCAGTCAGCTTCCTTATGCATCGTCCAGTCTGCGTTTGTGGGCTTCAAGCGTTAGGGCTCGAAGGGTCCTTACATCCCAGGATTTATTGCGGTTTGGGATACCGGTGACTAACTGTAACTGAAGCGTAGTCATAAACCAATGATGCGAAGTTAGCTAGCCTTTGCTGGGATTGAAATCTTTGTCAAGCAAAGCGTCATGCGGACGGCATTGTACTCATCGACACGTGTCAGCACCTGCTGGAACCTTCGATGCAGGCGCTGCATTCATAACCATGATTTTTTAGTTAACCCTCAACCCCTGGCGCCTCTGCGAAACCCCCGGCTTCGGGCCCCTTTCACAGTCCTGGAGATTCTTTACAGAGACCGCAAAGAAGAATGGTAGACGGGTGCGACCAAGGGGTCTTGACCTGGGTTTAACAACCCCACTTGGACTCGTCGAGAGGTTTATGTAGTCTCTGAAAGCTTCCATGATAGGCCAACCCTAAGCAGCAGATCCGTATCGCAAGGACCCCGACGAAGGACACCGTAAGCCAAACAATCCCAACCCAAAAATCGATACAGGAGCATTAAGACTGAACGTTTGCGTAGTAATCAAGTTCAAGCTAGTATCATGATTTGAACCAGAAACCGCTCTGAACCCTACACCCTAAACCCCAAAAGCCTTACCTCTTTCAAAGGAAGCCAAAATCCGAAACGACGTCTGTGCAACCTCTCCCATTTCAGAAGGGTGCCCTAAACCCTGAACCCCAAACCCGCAAGCCCTAAACTCCCAAGCAGCCTCTCCATTTCAGAAGGGAAGTTGGCCGAGGACTCCAACTCTGTCACTTGGAGGAAGCTGCAGAGGTCCTTGTTTGCGGCTTACCCAGAGGGTCCGAGTACACAAAGACTAGGATACCCTGTAACCTAAGAATAAAAAGGCCTCTCTTTTTGGTATTGGATAACTCTATAAGGAACCTAGGACTACAAAAAGGGAGTAAGGGTACTACCGGGCATCCTAGAAGAGTAAGGTTTGAGGTCCCAAAATCCGTACTTCGGGCTAGGGCTCCGTGGCTATGACCACAGGCTTTCAGGTTCTACTATTTGCTTAAGAAACCCCCAAAAAATAAAAATAATAATCCCTATATTACCCCCATAAGGAATAGATTTTTTATTTTTTTGGGGTTCTTAAGCAAATCGTAGGGTTTCGGGGTTAGCAACTATGGTTTAGTGTTTACGGCTTATAGGGCTTTACGGCTTAGGGCACATGGGTTTAGGGTTTAGGGGTGTTCAGGCGTTTAGGGTTTGAAGGAATTGATGGATGGGCCTTACGGTAACAACTAAAGTCGGATGGGGAGTACACAGTGGAGGGGCCGATATGATGTACATGAACACAGTTTAGGGTTCACGATTTACGATCATTTTTCGAGCTTGATTTGCCTTGCGGGTTGAGGTTACTCAGGACCCTGAAGGATCCAACAGAAGAGAGCCCCTCCCCCCCCCCCCAAAAAAAAAAAAAAATGCCTATATATCCGAACCAATTTCCAGGTTGGGTAGGATCTGGCGTCAGCGGGTTCAATTCAGCGTCTTAGGGGGGGTCAGCCATTTTGATAACTAGAACTGGCTTTAAATGTAATGATATATCATATAACTAATATGATAATATATATATGTATAAAATTACTTAAGCAAAATATCACAAAACTATTCCGACCTACAGACACAGTGTGTACCTTAAACATTACATCCGCAATCCTACAACTAAAACCTTTTGCCAAACCCCATGAAACTCTCCAAGCCCCTTTTAGACGACTTGCACGTGGGTGAACCCTTCAAACCTAAAGAATCCCAGCAACGCTCCATTCCCCTTGCATCAACACTCAGCCCCACAAGCCCCATACACTCACAGTAGACTAGTTACACTCCCAAACCTTGAACGCGAAACCCTAAACCCTACAATTGAACCCCCCCTGGCCTGGATCAGCTCTCCTGCAGTCTCCATGTCGTCTGTGCGGATGGTGATGAGTCCAGTCTGCTGGCTGCTCATGGTGACGCACAGCCTCAAGGTTCAGGGTTTAGGGCAGGATGCGCAGCCTTTTCGAGTCTCTAGATGGTTTTGGAAAGATGCGTGTAAGCTTGCAGAATCTCCAATGATTGCTACAAGGTGGTTTGTAGGCGGCTTTCATAAGGTTTTAGAGCCGTAATGCACACCTTTGCTGCACAAACGCCATCCCTTTGTAAGGAAAATACATGCGCTTAAAAGGGTGTAGGTTAGTTAGTCGGGTTTCGGGTTTTAGATGTGCAGAGTGGGCATATAGGGTCGCAGTGGTTACCGGAAACCTAAACCTGCGAGTACATTTTATAATCTTGACCTCAGTTCACGGCTTTGAGCAAAGTCGATATGAGGGTCACTGTGGGTTTACGGTTCGGTTTCGGCTTGATCGTAGATAGGGACTGCAGATGGTGATGCGCAACTTGGAGAATGTCCTCAAGGCTACTCATACGCTAAACCGCAGCAGTGATTCAGCACAGAATACCCAGATTCCCGTAGATCTGGACGAATTTTTAATCCTGACCTGGTGAGTCTGTAGTATGGGGCTTCAGTGGGTGCTATACTTTGGTCTTAAAGGGGTGCCTGCATAAGCAATTCAAGAATCCAAAGTCTAATACCCTAGGCCATGAGATTCAACCCTTATAAACTCTAAACCCCTAATCCGCATAGGTAGAATACCACACCCCTATTCAGCCCAAAGCTAGACAGACCCCCCAAGCCCTAAACCCCTGAACCTGAAACTCTAAACACCGAAAACTCTAAACCCGGAAACTCCTAAACTCCCCTAAATCCTAAAGCCCTAAACCCCAAACCTGAAACTCTAAACCCCCTAAACCGGCAAACCCTAAAAGCCTAAACCCTGAACCCTCGACTCCTAAGCCCTAAACCCCCAGCCCGAAACCCTAAAGCCTAAACCCTGAATCCTAAACCCATATGGGAGTTTCTGAAAGTAGGGGACCCTAATATAATACCCTAAATAGTAGGGATCCTTAAAGGACCCCAGAATAAGGTACCCCTAGTTTTCAGAAACTCCCATATATGTGCACATGGACCCAAAGGCTCGGAGGATAAGCCTGGGTTCTTGTCACGGGATACTTGTTCCAGCCCAGACCCCCAAAGGGGACCTAGAAAGTAGATCCCCTATTTTGGGGAACTATACTACTAAGGGTACTTTCTAGGAAGCCCCATTAAGGGATGTACTTTTTGGATCCTCCCAGGGGCCGTTCCGGGGAGTAGGGTTTTGGGTCGCAAATTCCGTGCTCTGAATGGTTTTTTTGATCTTGAAAAACCTACAATTTGGGTACTTGGACCCTTGGGGTTTGATATGTACTATAGACCCCTATTATGGAAGTATTTTGTCGCCACATTCCTTATCCAGAGCTGTGCATATTATGGGTTTCTCTGAGGTTAAACCAAACGTAGCAAGAACCCAGACAATACAAGGCAGGTAGCGGCTCTCCGGTACGGAGAGAGATGAAGTTCACGTCGAGCAAGTTCGTGGACTCACGAAGGGAGTGGGTTTAGGGTTAGGGGGTTTAGGGTTTATGGTTTGAGTTTAGTAGGGAAACGGCTTTCTTGTTTGGAGTACGGGTGTTAAGGTGTTAAGGGGAAAACCCTTAACCCTGAACCCTAGTTGCGGGGGGGTCCCCACTAATGGGGATCAGGAGGAGATGTAGCCGTCCTCTAGCAAAACATTGTAATATAGGGGCCGTGTCAATTTTGATAGGGCTTTGGTGGTATATTATGCTATACTTATCAAGAGGAATCTCCCAAAAAATAGTATCGGTCATTCTTTAGGCATCTATATTGGATTGTCAGTTGGGCAAACTGTGCTTTGTTTTGAACTCCACGGATTCGGGCGGTAGGGAGGGTTTGAGTCCAGGGTTGTGGTTTAGGCTTGTGGGGTGTCTTGTAGTTCCTGAAAGGGGCAGTTCAGCAAGTGGCCGGACAGAATGCTAGAGACCACTTCATAAGAAGGAGCAGAACACCAGAAGCATCTAAACGCCTTAAGAAGAACCTAGCTACAACATATATCCTGAACTCCAAACCCTGATACATCAAAGCAAGAAGCTGTACCCCCCAAGCCTAAACCCTAAAGCCTAATTACCTAAGCTCCCAACTCTAGATCCTGAATCCTAAATTCCTAAATTAAACCCTAAACCCCAAACCCTCAGACTTGAAAAGATCAAATCGGCAGAGGTGCTGTCTGTGGCGCAACCGGCATCTGATCCGGAATGGAGATGAAGGACCTGCGTAGTTTAGGGATGTCGAGTTATTTTGTAGGGTGTAAGTGTTGGGGTCTAGGGGGCACTTACTTCCCCAATTCGCCACAAAAATAAAAGGCTAAACTTTCCGATTCCTACTAAACTAGAAGAACCCAAAAAGTTTAAAGCTTAGGTATTAGGGGTCTCAGGGTACTAGGACCCTCCAAGAGATTATCCCAAACCCTTCGAGTACCCTTGGGAACCCTTCAAGTACCCTTCAGGGAACCCTGTTACGGTTGATGATATATATCCTGCATTACCCATTATGAGGAATATACCATAATTTCCGTAGTTCCGGGTCCTTCAGATAATGCAGGATTTATATCATCAACAGTAGTACCCCGAAAGGAGGTACTTAGGACCCTCCAACTCCAGCCTCTGAAGCCATGACCAGATCCGATTCGGCCTCTCCTGCGGCATCAGAAGCTCTGGGTTAGTGTCTGACAGCTCAGGGTTTAGGGCATACTTGGAGGGTCGGGGGACTTAGTAAATAGTTATTTTAGAGACTTATAAGTATCGTAACCCCTGTTTAGGGTCCTTAGGGTACTTGAAAGTCTACTTACTACATACTTACTAAGTCTTCCGACCCTCTAAGTACCTGGACAACAAAGAATAATCTGCCTTTTCAGGACTTACATAAGGAAATCATCACAAGGAGCCCCCTAAAAATTAAAGGTTTGATAGGACCCAGGTAGGTTGTGGGTTGCAACATGGAGATCTCGTCATTAGAATGCCGTTGGGTTTGACAGGCAACATGAAGGGGTCTTAGTCGTTTCGACGCTCTTTGTTGGGAGCTGTGTTGAAACCAAACGTACAGTTGGGAACCCTACGGAATGTTGTTGGCTGCTTTTCGTTGGGATCTGATCTACAGCCTCTTTGGTCAGAACGGGAGTTAGAGGCTTTACTATCAATTATCCGCGCCAGGAAGCAAAACCATGCAAGACCCCTATCGCCTATAAGTGGCCTATGAAACCCTTTTCAACCTCCCTACAAAGATTGAAGTACGTCCTGTACCTGTCCCACGACACCCTGCAGAAGCCATAGGAAACCCTGACTTAGAAGAACAAATGCATCACAGTTTAGGGTTTAGATCTGTAGATACGAAGGTTTCAAGGTTTAGCTGGTTTAGGATTTCAAGATCAGGGGGATTGGTCTAGGCTAAACCGTAAACCGTAAAGATAGGGCCTTAGCAATTAGATTAAGGCTTTGGGGTCCGATATCCTATGGTTTTACAAAGGAACCCCAAAATTGTCTCCGCAATTATTAATGCCCCTACATTAATTGCCTTAGATCACTTCCTAACCAGTGGTTTTGGGGGTTCCGTTGGCTCTTTAGCTCCCTATTTAATAGGGCTCATCATCATCCCTGGCTCCGTATCTCCCCCAATACGGTTGATGATATAAATCCTGCATTACCTTAAGGACCCTAAACTATGGGAATAACGGTATATTCCTTATTATGGGTCATGCAGAATTTATATCATCCACCGTATCAATGGTTTTCTTCTCTCCTGCAGTCCCCTACCTCAGTTGCCTTTGTCCACTTCTCTCCTGCACTACGAAGGTGACGGCCCCCGTCGGCCACTGGGCCACTTCTTCCACGAGATGGTACCTGGGAAGCTTTCCTTTGGGAGCTCCCATAAACAAGGGCCTTCGCAAGCAGTATAGGTTCCTTTGAAGGGCTCTATGAGGGCTAGTATAAAGGCTATGATAAGGATTTACTATATGGGGCCTTGATTATCAATAGGGTGGTGGGGTATATTCTACTATAATCATAAGTAGGTTTTTCCACAATAGTATAGTATAGGTAATTATTTATTTAGGCAACTATACTACTTGGAGGGTCGGAGGACTGATGAGAAGTTCACGAATTCCAGTTACGATCCCGTTTAGGGTACGTATATAAGTCTACTTGCTACTTACTCGCAAAGTCTCCCGATCCTCCATTTAAGGGTACACGTACTCGCATTCGTCACATCCGGACTACTAAGGGGTCGGGACAAAAAGGGAAATCTTTGATCAATTTCCCCACCCATGCCGCCACACTTGGCCCCACAGCCACAACATGGGAAATCCGGCAAGCTGCAAGGGCATTCTTGGACCGCGTGGGTGGCGGGTTGAAATTTGGTTTTGAAGGGGCAGCATGTGTCTGCAGGAATTTTCCCAACACCGCCTCAACAGCAAAGCTCTGCAAAGAGAGCGCAGTGCTGAAAGCATTTGAGCACCGAGCCCGTAAACCTGCAATCTCAAAACCCACTCCATACCCCAAAACCTCGAACTTCAAGCCATTAACCTCCAATGCTAAAAAAATGCAATCCGGGAGGTACCCTAAGCATGCCAGCAAGCATTGCGAACTTCGGCATGACGTAGTTGAGCTCAAAGACGTGGTATTGGAGGCTACCTTAGACCCAGGAAACCCTTCCTGCGTATGTGACGCTTCTTTTCGAAAGATTTTAGAGGTCGAGGTGCTTACATAACTTGTGTAACGTAGCAGTCTTACTGACGAGAACAAACCCTGGGGATTCATCATCGCATAAGTATCGAAAGGAACCCTCAGGACCAGCGCCTCTATATCCATACGCATTGTCCATACCCGGATGTTTCACAATTACGGTTCTGAGGAGAATACGCCAAATGAGGGTACCTCAGCCGGGACCTAACTCTACTCCCCTGGAGGTAAGCAACGTATGCATTCGTCGGAAATCCGTGGAAAAAGCCGCCATAATGGGCCACAACGTAAACAAGCAATAAAACACCACAGACACAGAGACACAGAGACACAGAGACACAGAGACACAGAGACACAGAGACACACACACACACATGCGGTCACAAAACATAAAGCTTTAGCAATCTAGCGTGAAAGTACGGCGTCAGATCTAACAACGTTCGACGCAGACAGCATGCATCTTCACTTGGAGCCCTAGGCTGTGAAACTGAAGACGGTTCCCATTTGCGGTGTCAAAATAATAGCCTTTTATAGGTGTTGGACCATTATCTGATTCTTGGGGGGTCAAGGTAGGCCCCAACATCATAAATCTCCCGCTCAATGTGGCGAGCGGCTCACAGTCACGCCAGTCATGGCCTTGATGTTCATGGTGGTCTGCACCTGGGCTTGTGGAGTTTAAGACCGAAACCGAAGCAGCAGCAGGAAGGATGACTCAGAGAAGCTATGGAAGCTCCAACAGTAGATTGGGGGGGCGGTTACTTGTCACTTCATGGCTTAGGCTTCCTTTGAAAATGTTGAGCTTGAGAAATTAACCCACACTTCTCACATATGAATAGTAACATTTCTTGATTCACGCAAAAGGGAACGAACCCCACAGTGAAGTGAACGGTCCTGTAGACTTGGCTGTAGCTGTAGCTACATATTCGCAGTCCCATTGAACTTAGCCATCTATGCTATGTCTCATCGCTGACACTCCAGAATAACATGCAGAAGATACTTGATTTGGCTTTTGGGGAAGTTCATACAGCGATGTTGGGGTTAGGGTTAGGCATGATAGGAGTTTCATCCTCAGAAATGAGGGCCATGCAGCTTTCATTTCCGTGATGATTGTAACATCGTGTTTCTGTAAGCCCGCGATGGTCACGCTGCTATCAACATATTGCCACCTAGGAATCGTGCTGTTCTTCAGCCCGACGCTGCTCGATTCAACCCTAATCCTTAAGCCGTTAAATCCTTAAACCTCGGCCGGATTGCATCCTTTGCCGGTGAGATCTGCACGATGATGTTGTTGGAGGGCGGCAAGGGGTGCAACATGCAGGCCTGTGACTTGAAACGGCGGAGGCGTTCTTCGCACTTACCTGTCTATATGGGGCTTTCCGAAAATGGGGGACCCTAATATAGTACCCTAAATAATCGGGTCCTTACTAGAAGGCCGTCAAAATAAGGAACCAAAATAAGGAACCCGAATTCTCGGAAACCATGGTGCACTCTCTGCAGGTGTCATAGGGCTCTGCGCCCTGGTTCTTAGTGGGAATGGGGGATGCTACTATAAGGGCCCTTATGGGACTATCATAGGGACATATTTCGCGATTCCCTACTCAGTTACGACTTCAAGAGATCATGGCCCGTCCCCAAACCCTGCAAGTGTCATAGGGCTTTTCAAAGAGTTCAAGTGTTCATGGGCAGTTCGAGGTGGAAGGGAAGCCTAGGATTCAAGTCAACAGCTTGATTTTGGGTCCTCGGTATATGCCTAGATAGGGCCTCGGGGCATACCTGCAACAGCAACAAAGCCGGGAGGTTTATTGGAATGAGGCAACTTGTATAAATGCCCCTACTACCGACTCGGCAAGTCATTTATTGGTTCACCGTCTGCACATGATTCCAGTCTGGGCTTCCAGCCAGGTTGACTAGGATGCCTAGTAAGGACTGTAGGGTGATAAATCGGTAGAATAGGTTTTGTTCTTTCGGACACCTACAATATCCCCCGGATTCGGTACTTTTTGAGATTCTGTTCATAAACGCGATGCATTCGTGTCGAGAGATCGGGTCTTCTCCCCTGATTCCCCTGATTCTTAGTAGGGAATGGCGGCATGGGTCATAGGGACTATAAGGCACATCATAGGGATCCATTTCCCCCGTCCCGTGCCAATTAAGACTTCAAGAGTTCATGGGTCCTCCCTAAACCCTGTAAGTGCCATAGGGCGCTGGAAGAGTTCAAGAGTTCATGAGAGGCCTTGAGGAAAAATAAGCCTTTTTTCTCAAATGCCGGTATATAGTTTAGTTTAGGGATTACACTAAGGGTTCCATTTGCCCGCATAGGATAATTACACTTTGGTCCTAAGGTGCCTATACAGGGAGTACTTCAAGGCCAAAATACCATGATGCTGTGTGGGTACATGGACCCTTAGTTGTTTAAGGCTTAGGGGAAGCCTCAAAGACAAACCCAAAACCTTGGATACTGCCCCCATACAGTAACAGTTTATAATAGGGCTTCTATTAAGGGCCTAATATATCTATATTATGAATATTATCCAACTGTTACTGAGTGGGGGCAGTATCCAACCTAAACCCTAAACAACTCCAAAAAGAGCAAGGCCTCACCGTCAAAGAGATGCTCGGCAAAGATCACCACTGCGCGGATCACCGAGTAATTTGAAGTCATGAGGTGCCTGAATTGCGGCTTTGGTGGAAGGGACGGATTTGGGGTTTAGGTAGAGGCCTAAACTAACAATGAAACTATGTAGAGTTTTCTGTTCTTGCAGCCCCATGGATATTGTTAGGAACACTCGAAAGAGCATAACCAATTATGAGGCTTCCACTTCACTTCCCTAGCCCTATAGACATATGTAGTGTTCAATAACTCAAAACTACGGAACAGAATACTAACAATTAAGAATATTGCTAATTAGCATGCTGACTCCTATTCATCCAACAACCCTAAACTAGTTCATGGCTGGGGTAGTATGAAAGATTTGAGTTTCTGAGTCTTCATTTGGCCTAAGTACCCATAGCAATGCAAAATGTTACCCAACTACGGCAAAGTAGACCCGAATCCTTCATCCCAAGGCACAGCTTCAAGACTCGAAATCCTAAATCCTGAACTAGACCCCAGAATGACCTACGAATAAAAAGGGTGCCCTTTTTGGTTTACCTGAACCCTTAAAAAGGGAATAAGGGCCCACTCTAGGTCCTAAACCCTAAACCCCGAATCCTAAACCTTCATCCCAAGGCACAGCTCTACGGTACCCTGCCCACGGTTGGACTTTAGCGAGGCGTTAAGCCTGGGCGCGAGCAGCCGAGGGGCTGTTTAAGGGTCCTTTAGGTGTTGGGGGTGTTTAAGGTTTATTATAGGGGCCCTTATACTTACCTATACTATTTTGGGGGGTTCCTTAGAATATTTATACTATAATGGGCCTCAAAACCCAGTTCTAATTATTAAGGCCCAAATTTTAGGGTGTTGGGATTTAAGGTTGAGGGTCTCTCTCAGACACCAGGGAGGATCCGAAAAGTAGATGCCCTGAGACGGTTCCTATAAAGTACCCTTAAGTCGTTCAGGTTCCCACATTAGGGGTTCTATTTTCAAGGGTTCCGGATTCTATAGTGGATGTTCCAGGACAGCATGTGCTCTCGTGTCATCTAACAAGTGGCTCATGGCCAAGTCATCAAAAAGAGGAAGCCTGAAACAGTGCCCGTGTATATATGTATATGTATATGTACATGTATATGTATATGTAAATGCAAATGTAAATGTATATGTATATGTATATGTATATGCGTATGTATATGTATATGTATGCGTATATGTATGTGTACAATATGTTTATATATATACACACATAGATGCTCAGACTACTATATTATATACGAGCTTGTGATTTACACTCAAGGTTTGAGTACGAACACAACGAGTGACCTGGCTTCGAACCACCGCCTAAGACATGAAACCCCATGCAATGAACCCTCAGCCCTTACTAAGCACTCAGTTCGACGCCGAACTCCAAAAGCCCTCAACCTCGATCCCTGAACGCTAAGGCCCAAAAAGCTCTTCAGTTTACTTGGAGGCTCCGTGGGCGGGGATTAAGGTCTGGAGTCCAGGGCTTAGTGTTTCGTTTAGGTTTCAAGTGGCCCCAGATAAAGCCATACGCGCTCAAAACCTGCCTACTGCGTCCACTCATCCTCGTCCATGGACACCCGAAACCCAACAGGAACACTGATAAGCATTTCTCACGACCATAGCAGTTCATCAATCCGAAAACCAGCAATTTCAGGGTTGTGATAAGCTCTAGCCGTGAGGCTGATTTACTATCCCGAAATCCCGATGAAAGGACCGCTCAGATGTGACTAGTACCTATTTAATTGATTTGGACCTGCCTTGAAGGTTCGTTGCTGCAGCAGGTAAGGCGGAGGTACTGTTAATGAATGCGATCATGCGTGGAAACAGACCCCTTCGAACGGCACGCTACAACCTGCGTTGAAGCTCTACAGTGAAAACCCGTGTAAACAAGTAACGAATCTCCGCAAGAAAATCGTCCTAGGAACCAAATGAACCCTAAACCCTGATGAAGAGCCATGAATCCTAATCTCTCACTCCAGACTTGCTTACTCATCTGCTTTAGGGGTTAAGGGTTCTCGTCAGCCTGAGTAATAGAATTCCTCTTCTAGGCATTGGGAGCCCTGTGAAAAATCACAACCCTCATATATGGACGGGTTTAGAGATCAGGGATCCACATTAATACGTAAACCCTAACTATACTATACTATACTGAACTTTGACCCCTAGCAACAAATATAGTCTTAGCTGTTTCTCAGGGATTAAAGGAACCAAAGATTCAAAAATGTATCTTTAAGTACCCCTAAGCTAATGCTTAACGCTCATCTCCGTCTAGGGAGCTTCGTATCCGTGGGGATGATGCCCTGGCCTGTCTCCTGTGGCCATGGAATGGATCCGGGCTGGGCTTCGGGATGCAGGGAGGGAAGGAGGGTTTAGGGTTTAGGGTTCAAGGTTCAGGGTTTAAGGTTTAGGGTTCGGGATTTAGGGTTTAGGGCTTACACCATCGAGGAGAAATAAAACTCCCAGACTAGCAAACATCCAATCGATCTTGCGTAAACGAGGCATGTTGGTGTGGTATAGTGTAATCATGTATAGGACTGTTGACGGACAAAGCCTTGCATCACAAACAGTCGTGTCTGTTCCGTAGCATTGGATAACGCAGGTTTGATCATTCAGCCATCGTGCTTCTGTCTCGCAGGTGAGAAGAGAAGGGAGTGCGAAAACCGTGTCCCTAAAGGCACGTGGATTAAAACAAAAAACACCCTTGAGTGACAAGCCCCGGCACGCTGGAACAACAATGAAGTCTGAGCAGAGGCTGTCCTTGCCCCCGGACTTGTACTGCTTCAGCTGTTCCTGGTAGCTGGCCAGTTCCTGGCGGTTGGTACTTGGAGGGTCGGGGGACTTAGTAAGTCGTTGTTTTATAGACTTATAAGCATCATAACCCCAAATAGGATCCGTTTCACGGGTACGTATTCGTCTACCTATTCCCTACTTACCAAGTCCCCCGGCCCTCTAAGTAGGTGTTGGGGGTTCAAGTCTGACTTGTAACCCAAACCGTCGACCCCCAAGCAGGTAACCCATAAACTCTCAACGCCGAACAACTTCTGACAGAGTTCTGGGTCTACAGCGCTCACGATTTTTTTTGAGACTGAAACTAGGTGTCGAGATATACACATAATCAGGGCTCCACTTTAAGCAGTAAGGGGCTTTAAACAATCGCAGAATCCTAAACCCTAAACCGAGCCATAGCGAGCAGACCCCATGACTCCTTCCTAGACCCCCAGGAGGATCCAACAAGTAGATCCCTCAATGGGCCGTTTCTGTTAAAGGCTTCTTTAACGGGATCTCTAAGGGTTTAGAGCTCAAGGTTCCTTCGAGGAGTTCTTATAAAGTACCCTGTCGTAGTAGTAGTAGTAGTAGTAGTAGTAGTAGTACTAGTAGTAGTAGTAGTAGTAGTAGTAGTAGTGGTAGTAGTAGTAGTAGTAGTAGTAGTAGTAGTAGTAGTAGTAGTAGCAGTAGTAGTAGCGTAGTAGTAGTAGTAGTAGTAGTAGTAGTAGCAGTAGTAGTAGTAGTAGTAGTAGTAGTAGTAGTAGTAGTAGTAGTAGTAGTAGTAGTAGTAGTAGTAGTAGTAGTAGTAGTAGTAGTAGTAGTAGTAGTAGTAGTAGTAGTAGTAGTAGTAGTAGTAGTAGTAGTAGTAGCAGTAGCAGTAGCAGTAGCAGTAGCAGTAGCAGTATTCATTCATTCACCACGCAGCGAAGTGTCCGGGTTCGCCTAGCGAGCTGACGATAACCCGGTTTTCGGGGTATCGGAACCTCTTTTGGGTTCTGGAGGGCAGTGCCAGCTCCATCGACTAAGACTACACTTGCTCAGCATCAGGCACCAGGAGGTAGTACCTGACGTAGCCACACTATATATATGTTGTCATCATGTTCTGTACTGACTGGCTTTGCGGTGCAGGAGTCATCAGTGATCCACCACTTTTCTGCTCCAAACAGCGGTTGTCCTCGTAAGATAGTTCTGTAATGCCCCATATCAGGAGTGGCCCCGTAGTGAAGCTGTACAGCGACGACCTGGTAGTGGACATAGCGAACTTGCATTGTGTGCAGACCTGTAAAGAGTGGCATACGAACAGTAGTCGAGGCCACAACCAGTGGTCTGGTGTCCCTGCGCATGACTCCCTCGGCATTCGTGAATCGCTGAAGTTGTATGCAGAGCATGGGAGACGGAGTCAGCAGTGCATAACGAGCTGTAACCTGAGCACTCCACCCATCAATGGCTGCCTGGAGCTCCAGGCTTGGACCTGCCGGTAGCGCAATCGGGATAGGAGCTTGGGTAGGCCCCTTGTCAAGAGTGGCAATACCTCCAGGTACGAAGTTTCTGGCCTCCCAGCCACCATTGAACCCACTATGCGAGAACCTGGGTAAGAGGTATTGTAACAGCTCAGCTGCATCATGCTGACGATGTACAGAAGGCCCAGCTTGCAGCAGCATAAGCCACGGTACCGAATGGAGCACCTGAATGGGGCAATTAGGTGTGGCAGTGATTGGTGGACACAGCATGGTAAGAGCCTGCGGTGGAGGCGAGACGTAGGCATCATGCAGCCTAGCCTGAAGGATTGTCCACAGAAGGGCATAGATAGTAGAGTGTAGGTAGCACAGATTTGATGGATTGTGGAAAATCAATCGAAGGACAGCCTTGAGACTAGGGCGCGCACTCAGTATGGCATCTGATGTTGCCACACTTCCTGGACCAGGGTGTCGTAGTTCGGTCGATCGCGACGGAGCCTGCATCCCAGGGTGTGCCACGATGCTTGTCCGATCCACTGGTTCAGCGTGCTCCACATGGCTCCTCCCTCCGGGCGAAGTGACATGCAGATCTGGAATTGAATCCAGTCGGAGGTCACCTCCGTGGTGAGCTTCCGCATGGACTTGAACCTCACCAGGGTCTCTTCCGTAACTGCCTTCCTCATCTGAACCAGTTGAGCCAACAGATCTTCCGCCGGTATTGGCCTCACCGAGTTGTCGACTTCCAGACATTGTTTGGTGGGATTCCATGTAAGATGTTTCCAATGTTTCTGATCGTCGATCCAGTTCAGGTTCTTGGCTTTGGCGAGAGCATCCTCGTCCGCGATCATGTTGGTCAACCTCTGGTGTAGGGTGATGAGCAGCTGCTTGAAGAGCATGAGTTTGAGGGAGTAAGTGATCTTCTCGGGTTCTTCCTCTTTCATCTTCCTCCACTTCTCCGCTGCTTCGCAGAGAACTGGTACCATCCCTTCTGGTCCGGATCGTACAAAGAGGTAGAGGACCAGATCCTGACGGATGGCTGAGATGATTTGCTCCTGACGAAGGACCAGCTGAGATAGTCGATTCATCCTGTACTCCATCCAGTCTGGATCTTGACTTCCCAGTGGCTGCAGGTCCTGAGTCTGTGTCCAGGGATTGGGTGGATGGCTTCCGAAACCATTTGTGTAGCCCGTGACCGGGTTGGCACTGGATGGACTTGGTAGGCCCTGCTTTCCCTTGCCTTTGCCCTTGGTACCCTTGCCCTTGCCTTTGTTCCGGTCCTGTGGTGCCAGACGCTGCCTCTTGGAGTGCTCCGTTTGATGCAGCACATCTCTTCTCGGTTCCTGTTCCCGTTTGACCGGACCGGCCTGGGCCCAAAATTGCCTCTCCTGTTCGTCCAGCTCCATGGGATCCGCGCCGAGCGTCATGGTGCGCTGCTAGAAATGCACAGATATGCAAGACATGACACTGTTTCCAATGACGATCTTTGTTGATGTTTCGCTGATGACAGTAGCGACATGGAACAACAGTATGTCGGCGGAAACCAGTAAGAAGCTTGAGAGTCGCAGGTTGGCAGTCTTTCCACTCTGGATGTTGCATGGTGAGATGATACTTGATGCTGGTAGGAGTGGCTAGCCACTGGTAACACAGCGGACAGTGGTGCTGGAGATACGAGTAGATCTCCGGTTTCTCAAGGAGGTCAGTCCACCTGCGTGCACGTAGTGTCTCAAGAACATGAGATTGTTGATGAAGAGGTACAGCCTCATGGCTCGGCGTAGCGGAGCTGTCCTGCAGGGGAGCATCTAAGACAGGGGGTTCAGGTATAACGGCAGGAGCAGGAGGGGGCAGAGCAGCCTGATCGTCTGACAGGATGTATGTCCCCTGAGAGAGGTCCTGAGGAGGCAGGGTGGCCGGGGCAGGGACTGGTAAAGGCTCGGATTCATTGGAGCTCGGAGCCAAGGGTGGGGCATCGGCAGGAGGTTGTGTAGCAAGTTTGCGGAGTACCTGACACCGATTGCGTTTAATGTGCTTGACGATGCCGTCCCATTGTCGGAAGGGATGGGCACAGTGTCGGCACGTTGGAAGTCCTTCTGTTCCATGTGCATACCTGTCAAAAGGCACCGGGACAGCAGCAGGGGTTTTAAGTCCATGCCACTTAGCCTCGTGAGAGCGGAGGAGCCGAAAGGAGGTAAAGACCCGATGACACTCCTGACACTGGTGTACGGCAGGGTCAGTGATGCCTTCTGTGTCCCCAAGAGGTACCTGCCATTGACGTTGCACTTGAAGATGGAGTGTGGCGGCAGTGTCTCGAGCTGATTCCACCTGGGCTTGGGTCACGAAGCTCGTGTCAGTGCTCAGGCTGGTCAGGCTACGATGCAAGGCAGCGGCTTCCCTCTGCAGATGCTCCAAGATGGTGGACAGGGAGCATCTGTGCAAAAGAGCCTGTGTGGATTCTTTCTGAAGATGTGCAAAGGATCGGGTGATGGCTCGAACCTGCTTGGTCATCATGTGCTGCATACGCTGGATGTCCTTGGCACCTGGGTTGGATGCCGCGATGCCATAGAGCAGCGTGGGAAGCACTGTGGATTTCCACAGACTGAGACGATGTGTCTGAGCAAGATGCCTGGTGGAGCACAGTACACCACGGAGTCTTTGCCAGGCCTGGTTCGCAGCCTGTAGCCGATAGGTGACTGCTTGTTTGGCCTGTGAATGATATGAGATGCGTATGCCCAAGTACGTGTGATGATCACGCAACGGAATTTCATACACCGTTCCCAGGGGGCTGCGAAAGCGGAGTAGATCCCCCTCGGGTTTGGGTATGAGGTGTCGGCGCAGCCAGCCTCGGATGAAACTGCCCTTGTGTTTCAGTAGCAATGCTGATTTGGCCGAGTTGATGACCATACCATGGGCGGCAAGAGCATCGAGGATCTTACTAAAGCGATACACCATGTCGTCCAGCTCACGAGTAGTCTGCACAGTATCCTTGAGGTGTATGTCATCTGCATAAATCGTGGAGCTTTGCTCTAGCCAAGGTGCTGTGAGGAGCGGGTCTCCCTCGGCAAGAAGCTCACGATATATCTGTGCCAGGGCTAGGGTCCAGAGCAACGGAGCCAGTTTACACCCTTGTCTAAGTCCTCTTTGGGCCTCTACCTTGGCAGTGTGTCCAAGGTGGGTAAGGACATAGGAGATTTCAGAGTGCCAGGACATGATTTGGTGTCTTAGCTCAGCCGGAACTTCGGACGCAAGTAAAGCCTTGTCCAGCAGTCGCCAGTCCATGAGGTCAAAAGCACTGGACAGGTCCAGCGATAGTTGTGCACCTGCAAAATGTGGGCAGGGTTTCGGCTGTTGAGCGTGACGATCAACAACCGTAGGTGTGGAAATCGAGCAGCGATCCTGGACATATTTGCAGTGTGCAGCAACCCGATGTATGGCTTGGGCAGCATTGCGACCTGGCAAGTATGCAAATTGTGCCTGATCCGCAAGGAACCTCTCGGCATAGGGGCGCAATTTCGCCTGCAGTATGGAAGCATATGCACGGCCACTGGATTCAGTTAACCCTATCGGTCTGAGATTCTTTGGTGAAAGTGG